TCACTCAAAGTACAACCAAAAACCTTTCAATGGCTACCAAGTCCTGCGCGATCCATTGTCTGAGGTATTCAGACTCCAGATATTCTCCCACTTACTTCTCCTCAGCCACAGACCTCCCTGCTATTCCTCAAATAAAATGACAAACATGCTACGCCTCAGGACCTTTGCACTTGTGGTTCTCTCTGCCTGGAACATTCTTCTTGTAGCTTAGGGGTTGTCCAAGTATGGTCTCCACACCAGCAGCATTAGGGAGTTTGTTAGAAATGCAGACATTTCTAACAGTCCAGACCTCCTGAGCCAGAAAGACTGGGGGAACAAGGGCAGCAATTTGTGTTTTAACAAACCCTCCAGGTAATGTGGATGCACAAAAAAGTTTGAAAACCACTTTTTGACCGAGCTCCTTGGTTCCCTTCCTTCAGATCTTTATTCAGAAATGTCCTCTTTCAGAAAGAGAGGCCTTCCCTGACCCCTCTGTCTAAAATAGCACTCCCCCAAATTGTTCCTAACTCCTTTACTCCTTTATTCTGCATAGTACTCACACCATCAGGCATATTAATATTCATTATATATGTGTGCATATATATATATATATATATATAGAGAGAGAGAGAGAGAGAGAGAGAGTCTCGCACTGTCACTCAGGCTGGAGTGCAGTGGCATGATCTCTGCTCTAGGCAACCTCTGCCTCCCTGGCTCAAGCAATTCTCCTGCCTCAGCCTCCCAAGTAGCTGGGACTACAGGTGTATGCCACCATGCCTGGCTAATTTTTTAAAATATTTTAGTAGAGATGGGGTTTCACCATGTTGCCCAACTGGTCTTGAACTCCTGAGATCAGGCAATTCGCCCACCTTGGCCTCCCAAAGTGTGAGGATTACAGGCGTGGACCACTGCACCTGGCCTATTTTATATTTTTAATTATTTATTTGCATATTACACATTTGCTTATCTCTGTCCGATTCTCTCCTGCTATAGTATGTAGGTTTCCTAAGAATCCCCAATGCCTGGAACAGTGCCTGGCACATAGCAGGCGCTCAATAAACATCTGATGCTTGAATGAACCCTCTCTATGCTCAGAAGGGAACTTGGGGTCCAGAGGGGGCAGGAAGTCGACCAAGGTCATGCAGGGAGTCAGGCATCCTGACTATCAACTCAGGACCCACTTGGCTACATGAGGCTTAACATGACTGGTGTGCCCCTGCTCAGAAGCGTGGCTTATTGGAGGCCCCCGGCACACTTCCCTTCCCTTTTAAGCTGTGAGTGGTTTAATTTGCAAGCGCTGCTGCCTTTCATGTCCCAAGCTGCGTCCCTGCTCCCTCTGATCTCTGAAGCTGCCCGGACCCTGGTACTGCTTGTTGGCCCCGCCCTCCGCAGCCGGATCAGGAGGTTCAGTAATTGTGACTGATTTTCAAAGCTGCCTGGAGTCTCTGCAAGCACCCTGGTGTCAGATTTGCTTCCCCTTCAAATAGTTGCTCAAATGAAATAAACTAATTTAATTTCTGCTTCTCCCTTCCCCCTCCTGAGTTCCCAGCTGGTCCAAATTGAGTCCCCCTCCCTCTTGACCTTTTTCCTGAGTGGACTGTGAGAGTCAGTGGGCTGGGAGAGGGAGTCAAGACAGGGCTGGTTCTCCATAGGCTGGTGCTCATAAACTGGGGGCTGCCTCTGCCTCCTACTCTCTGCGTGACCTTGGATGAGTCCTTGCCCTTCTCTTGATCTCAGTTTCCCCACCTGTGAAACAAGGACCCTTGCCATTCCAACAACCTGGCAGCCATGCCCAGCAACTTGCTCTGTCACTGACTTGCTATGTGACTGTAGATACTTTCTTATCTCTGAGCCTCAGTGTTCCCATCTGTTCAATGGGAATGCTACCATCAGTCCTGCCACCTCTCAGAGTCGCAGTGAGAGTGAAGTGGTCATGGAGGAGCCACCATGGTGGAGATGAGGCTGCTCTTCCCCCGGCACCTCCCCATCCTCAGCCCTTCTCCACAGTGCAGCAGAGGGAATTTTCTAAAATGCAAGTCTTCCCACGTCACTCCCTCGCTCAAGCCTTTCCCAGGCTACCTGCTTTCCTCTAGTCCTTCAGATGGGGCTCCTGCTTCCTTCTCTAGCATCTGCTCGCCCCACCTTTCTGGTCTTTTTTATGCAGAAATGTGCAGGTCAGTTTTAGGTGAAGGGGGACAGGGCTGTGAGTTTAAGTCAGTAGGTAGGGGCTGCTGGACCTAGAAAGTCAGGGACTTGCTGCATGACCTTGGACATGTCACTGCCTCTCTGAGGCCCAATTTCCCCATTTGCAAAATTAATTGCTAAGTTCTTGCCAGGCTCTGAAATTCCATATGTCTTTGCCATTGATAATATCCAAATTTATCTCTCCAGCCCAGACCCTCTCCGAACCTGGATACTCAATTGTCTTGTTCAAGATCTCCACTCGGCAGCCTAATATGTTTTTCTAACTTAACATACTTCACACCAAACTCCTAATTTCCTCTCATCCCCCAAATCTATCTCAGTAAAGAGAAATCCATCTATTTAATTGCTCAGGTTACAATCCTAAGAGTCATCCTTGAGTTTTCTTTCTCTCACACTCCATATCCAATCCATTAGCAATTTCCATTATCCAATCCATTATGCTTTCAGAATATATCCAGAAGGAGACCTCTTTTCAACACCTCCACTGGTACCATCTTGTTCCAAGCCACCATCACTTCCTGTTCACAGGCCACCTGCTTCTGCTCTTGCCCTTTTTTCTTTCCATCTATTCTTCATGGAACAGCCGTGGGGTCCTGATCATGTCATTCTTCTGAGCAAGACCTCCCACTGACGTCTCAGTTTGCTCAGCATAAAAGGCAATGCCCTGGCTATGGTGTCCATGGCTGCATGATCTGGTCATCTTGTTTTTTCTTGGCAGAATTCAACCCCAGGACCTTTGCATGTGGCATTCCCTCTGCCTGGAATGCTCTTCCCCCAGGGCCACACTCTCACTTCCTCCAGGTCTTCAGAGAAGCCTTACTGCACCAATGATCTAGTTGTTCACTTGCTTATTGTCTGTCTTCCTTAGGAAGAATGGGCCCTCCATGAGAGTAGGGAATCTTCTGCCTTTTCACTGCCATGTTCCCAGGGCCTAGCCCATAGTATGTACTCAATAAATATTTGTTCAATGAATGAATATACTCATATAGACACAACATGTCACATGCACACACAGGCCTTAAAGTGCTTCTTGGCTAGGTGTGTGTGTGCACATCTGCATATATATGTGGAACACACATGTACATCAGGCATGCATGCATGCCTGTGTGTGTACACCAGTCTGCACCCACATCCACAGCCTCATTGTTCCCTATTTCCCCCTCATCCCTTGCCTACCATTCTCTCTGGTTCACCTTCTCCTCTTCCCTTACTGGCTGCTTGCTCATTATCCCAGCAAGCTGCCAGATTTGGCTCAACCTGGGGAAGCTGGGCTGACAGCACTCTCTCCCTAGAGCCCAAGTACTCCTGGCCTCTGACACGCAGCCATACAGCTGGGAGGTCCAGGGAGGCACAGCGTCCAACCTTTGGCCACAGCGAGTCAGCAATGGAGCGTGGCTTAAGACCTAGGGCAGCAGCTTCTTGTCTAGCCTGGCTTGCAGATAACTTCGAGCAACATGGTGGGAAGGAGATGGCGGCTACTGGCTTGTGCCCCTCACCCCATGACTCCAGTTTCTACCACAGCCCCAGAAGCCCTGAGCTAAGTGAGGCCTTGATGGTCAGAAACGGTCTGGGGGTTTCATGGTCATGCAGAGTCATGCAGCTTTAGCCTCAGTGTCCTGCTCCTGTGTGCATGGCCCTTTCTGAGTATGGCTGTGTCTGATGTCTACACGGAGATGTATATTGTGTGTGTGCACTTCACTTTCTATGGGCATAATCATGTGTGCAGTGCTCCTGTGTGTGTGCAGTCATACCCAGGTAAGTGCAACTGAATCTGTGTCTGGGGGCTCAGCCATCTCTGTATGAGGCTCTGTCCCTAGCTGGCTGGGTTTTTGGTGAGCCGTGGCTTTCTCTGAGCTATAGACAGAGCTGCCTGTCTCATTCATCTGCCTGTGCCCATGCCTGTCTACAGCTGCACACCAGGGGAGCTGGACCCCAGGATGCTCATGTCTGCTTGTGGCTTTTGCCTCTGTCTCTGTACATGGCTGAGTCTGTGCAGAAGTGCTATCTGCATAAGGGCCCGTTTCCTGCCTAGGGTTGTGCGTGGCTATGTCAGGGTGTGCAGTCGTGGGTCTGAGTGTATGGTTGGGCCCTGTTTCAGCTGTGCCCCAATCTAGCTGTTCCCAGTGGTGGGTGTGCCTGAAGATGGGAGTATGTCCGTGTGGAGGTTGTTGTCAAGGGCTGTGCTGTATCTGTTCATATGCAGCTGAACTTTTGTGAAGGGCTCTGTCAAGGCGTCCAGGCATGCCTGTGTGTGTGACTCTGTCCAGCTGTGCCCGTGTGTGTGATTCTGTCCAGCTGTGCCCGTGTGTGTGATTCTGTCCAGCTGTGCCTGTGTGTGTGACTCTGTCCAGCTGTGCCCGTGTGTGTGACTCTGTCCAGCTGTGCCCGTGTGTGTGACTCTGTCCAGCTGTGCCTGTGTTGGGGACTGGATCTATGAATGGGGTTGTATACCACTGTAGTGGTGAGTTGTATGCGGGGCTGGGCTTGTGCATGCGGCATCTGTGGCTGTGCCTACATATGTGACTGGGTGTGGCTGTATGAGCATGTCTGAGGGCATCACTGTGTCCACATGCAGATCCACATTCATGGGGGAGCTGTGTCCATGGAAGTGGCTGAGGTCATGTGTGTGGTTTTGTCCAGGACTATGCTTGACCCCAGGGGGCACTTGAGCTCACATCTGTACCCTGTATCCTGGGTCAGCAGGCTCTGTCTTTCCTGTCCCTCCCAGAGGATCAGCTACTCCCCTTCCCAGCAGGCTCCACTCCCCTTGGGGATCACCTTGATCCCACCCCCCACTCCCAGGGCCCACAGCCCACCTGTGGGCGAGAGTTCGGCCACGCTGCCAATATAGGGGCCGTGCAGGAAGCGGGGCTCACTGTCATTGATGTCCTGCACCTTGATGATGAACTCCGACTCGGGCTCCAGTAGGCGGTTGGTGGCGCGATCCCGAGCCTGGGCCCGCAGCGTGTAGAAGGTTTTCTGCTCGCGGTCCAGGCGCTCCATGGCATGAATGTCGCCTGTCAGCTCGTCGATCAGGAAAATGGTCCCAGCACCCTCGCCTGAGATGGTGTACTTGATGGCCCCGTCACCCTCGTCAGAGTCGGAGTGGATCTGGGGAGGCAGAGAGGAAGGCAAGGTGGAGGCTGAGGAGGAAGCTCCTCTTGGCTTCACCGTCCCATGCCATTGGCTGCCTATTCCTAAGCCCATCTCTTCTCCAACACATACATAGCTTTAGTGAGGACACTGAGGCCCAGCAGCCACGCTCACTTACATCCCGGGCCTGGAGTGTTTCCTCAGTCCTCTGGGGCCCTCCCTGTCCCTGGACTCTACTTTCCCCTCTGCATTCAGAGCTATCAGCCTTGGAGGCAGATCTGAACATGGCCTCCCTGCTTACGACCCTCCAGTGGCTTCCCATTGCCTTCACATAGAAGTCCAGCACCACTTCCACACCTCTCTCCCCTTTAGCACGCGCAGCCCTGAGGATCCTGCCTTGAGTCCTGTCCTTGTTTCTCTGCCCTTGGAAAGTCTACTCATCTTGCAAAGTGCAACAAAAATGCCACCTCTTTCAGAAAACTTTTCTGGATCCTCAGTCTCTCCCCACCTCCGGGATCTCTCAGTACATCAAGCCATCGTGATCATGTTCAGCCTTGTAGGATGGCTGTAGCCAACACTTCTCAAACTCTACTATGCATGCAGTTCACCTGGGGATCTTGTTAAAATGCAGATTCTGACTCAGTAGGTCTGGGGCCAGGCCTCAGACTTTGCATTTCTAACAAACTTCCAGGCTGCTGGTCCATGAGCTCACTGTGAATTACAGGTCCACCGCTCCCTAGACTCTGCACCACAGGAGGTTGGGGTGGCATCTTCCTCATCTTGGTATATGGAGAACCAGGCTCAAGACACGGCACATGGCAGGGAGTGAAGGGAGAGAGGAGGAAGGGATGTCAATTGAAAGAGCACCTTCTATGTGCTAGGCACTGGCTAAGCAATTTATGTACTTTTCTAGTTCAAGATGCTTTTTTAAAAAACCTGCTAGAGTAGGTTTTGCTATCTTTATTTTACAGATTTTTTTCCCCATTTCCTAATGAAGATTGGAGAAGTGGAATGGGTTCTTCAAGGTCAGGCCACTGGAAGAGCTGGTCTGACTCCACACTGGGCTTTCCTATTCCATCTAAAGCCTCCAGAGAGGAGCCCAGGGCAGGGGAGAGACAGTGCAACCTGGCCCAGCCTTGGCTCTGACATCTCCTCCCTGTGCATCCTCACCCATCACTTTGCCTCTCTGGCTCTCAGTTGCTTCATCTGTAACATGGGAATCATATTAGCATCTTCCTCCCAGAGGTACTGAGGGGTTTGCTGAGTTGAGAATCCACACAAGGCCCTTAGCAGGTGTTACCAGGTGACATTTACAATATTTAACAGCCAGCATGGTGGGTGCACTGCCCAGGCAGTGGTACTGCAGCAGGATCCCTGCTGGGCCAGGCAGGAGCCCTTTGGTTGCTGGATCACAGAGAGGCCCAAGGGGCTGAGAGAGTTGGGGCGAGGGAGAGGAGAGGGACTATTTACTACAAGTATGGAGGTTTTTCATGGTTTTAACAACCAGTACAACTATACCAGTTTGTACTAGCTGAAAATCAGCCCCGTCTGAGACATAATGAGTGCCCAATAAATGGTAGCTATCGTTATTATTATATTATTACTAAATGTTAGCTATATATAACCAGGATTTAATCTAGGCACTATTAGGCTCCAGATTCCAGGCTATTTCCACTGCCCTGAGATCTCTTGGGTGAGGAACCAGCAAGAAGTCTGTTTTCTTGCAATCAGAAACACCTAAGTCCTTATCTTCCAATGCCCAAATCTCCCAGGCAGCTTCGCGCAGAGGAAAATCCATTCCAATGAAGCTAATGGCTTTGGGCAGGTCCCTGCTCCTCTCTAAGCTTCCATGGAGATGGAGTGTGAATGAGAGAACCCCTAAAGTTCCTTTCAGGCTGGGGTGCTGTGGACCCCAGCCCACTCAGCAGGAGAACAGGTGCCCATGAAGTCATCACGAAGGGGGACAAAAGCCCATCCCCTGCCACGCAGGAGGAGCCGGGGTATAAATTCTGCTGGTAGAACTTTGTGTCTGAAAGGTGGATTATAGAAGTGCCATTTGGAAGATTGAATGGCCCATAAACATTTTCATATTTCATTAGCCGATTAATGGGCATCTCTCTCTTTTTGGCGAGTCTGCTGATTCTCAGCAGAAATTGCGGGGACTAAATGGAGGCGTCTGGTGGAACCTTTCCGGGTCCCCGTCCTGTTATAGATTGCCCCAATTAATGCCCGTCCTGGGCTCCACTGAGAAGCCTTCTTCCTGTCCAGTTACTGTTAATAGATTTCTCATAAGTGGCTGGATTGTAAAAACCTCATAACTCAGTTTAATGCCCCCAATAAAATTATTTCAGGACATCAGCCCTGAATCATTGGCAGTGCTGAGGATGAGGAGACCTGTCTCTCCTGTTTGCTGTTTATACATTTTTTCTACCATTGCCCCAGGGGAGATGGGGTGAGAGGGGGTGATTCTGTTCCCTTTTGGGGTGGCTCTATCTGCTTCCCAGTCTGATCTGTTGTCAGCTTATTTCATCAGCAAACACTTCTGAGCAGTGTGATAGAATAGACGCCATTCGAAGAGATGCTTAACAGCTATAATCTTATTAGTCTTCATCATTGTCCTGTGAAACATTATCATTCCCATTTCTCAGGTTGGAAAACTGAGGCACAGAGAGGGGAAGTCATGTGCTGTGTCAGGTGGCTAACTGTGGGAAGCACGCTCCTGACTCTACTACTCACTAATGTTGGGACCATAGGTTTGTCAATTTTACCTCTCTGAGCCCCTGTGTTTCCACCTGAGAAATCAGACCGAGCTCTACTTGGCACAGGTGTGGGGAGGATTAGATGAGAGCATGTTTACATTGACCTAAGCACTCTGCTAATGGTTGTTTCCTTCCCTTTCCATCTCCTGGCTCTCCATCATGTCCCTGCAGCCCTTGACGTTTTAACTCAGATCCCAGGCAGGGCTCACTTATGAGTGAGGAATGGAGAGGAGGGAGTAGAGCCTATGGTGATGTCATCTTCTGTGGAATATGATGCAGAGCTCACCCTGGGGCCTACTGGCTGCTCTCTGGGGACCGCAGAGTCAGACAGGGGCAATCGGCCTGGGCAGGAGCTAAGATCTGGGAGTTACGAATTCAGGCCCAGCTGGGGCTGCCTTCCCTGCCTGCCTGGGTCCCAGCTCCAGAGTGAAGGGGGAATGCCTGTGGCTCTGCCCTAAGAAGATATTTCTCAGGACTCTCAGCTGGGAGTGGAGGATGGAAGACGGTGCTCTCATTTATTGAGCACCCACTATGTGTCACACATGTGTTGCAGGCCATCTGCAGAAATTGAGCTTGACTTTGTGGGGTTTGCAAACGTATCCCTATTTTCCAGGTGAAGAGACTGAGGTGGCCCCAGGTCTGTTTGACTCCAAAGTCCAGTTTGGTTTCTCTGCAGTCTCTGGGAATCTGGCTAGTCTGCTTACAATGCCTGCAGCAGAGGATGAGGGAGAAAAGGGGAAGGAGTGGGCTACCGGGTGGCCACTGGGCTGCACAGCTTGGACAGTGGCCTTGACACCAGTCTTTTGCCCTGTGCCCTGCAGGCCACAGTCATCGGTGGCCTCTTCTCTCTAAGCCTCCATTTTACCATTTGGAAAAGAACCTCAAGCCACACATCAGGAAAGATTACGTGCTTTGGAGTCAGAATCAGCTCTGTACCAGCTTCAGCTTTGCCAGCAACCTGTGCACGCGCCTGGGCAAGTGGCTACCCTTCTCTGAGCCTCAGTTTTCTCATCTGTAAATGGGGCTGATATTGCTTCACCATATATATTCTGAAGATTCATAAGATAATATATGGAAGCTCCTTGCGCTTAGTAGGTGCTCAATGTAAATTAGTTCCCTCTCCTTTTCCTGTGCTGGTCTCAGGAGGGGTTGAGGGGTCACCTAGTTCATCCCCTATCTCCTGATACAAGAACCACACAGACTCAAATCCTGACCTACTGGAGATCTAGGGGCCATGATCCAATCAATGCCTTCTTGTCTTTCAAATTCAGCTTGTTTCCTCCTCCAGGCAGCCCTCTCAGATGCCCTCTTATTTGGTTGAAGAGACCTCACCTACTCCGTTCCTGCCCCGTACACAAACCCCTCCACTCCACACCCTCCTGTAACTTCTAGTGTTGCACATCTGTGTCCCCAGCTGTCATGGGCCTCAAGGTATGGACTAAGTTAGGTTTGTCTATGTCAGAACTCTCTGTGCCTGGCACGCACTAGGTACCCTGACAATACCTGCAGAGAAAATACAGGGGGTGGCAAAGTTGAATGTGTGTGTGTGTGTGCGCGCACGTGAGTGTGAGTTTGCAAGCTCCTTGAGGGTCAAGCATCTGGCTGTTTATTCCAACTCCCCAGCACCCAGCACGGGGCACAGCACCAAACATATTGAATACATGAATAATAAAGTATACAACTGTCATCAGACTCCCCCAGTTGTCTTCTGGGATTTCTGCTTAATTCAGCCACTCTTAAATCCCAGGTACACATGGACAATCGCTGGGAACCTAAAACACACCAGGCACAGTTCTAGACCCTTGACTGCTATCTCACTGATGTCTCATCTTGTGCATCAGAACTTACTCTCTCCCCATTGTGTAGGTGGGCAAACTGAGGCCCAGAGAGGGTCTAAACCCCACCTAAAGTCACACAGGTGATGAGAGACGGCTCCAAAGCCTGACACCACATTCAGAGTTCTTTCTACCACATCAAGTGTGGCCAGCCTTGGAGGAGAAATCCCCCTCAAGCCCCATCCCTTGATCATAAACAACATGAAAAACACAAGAGTGATGGTTTCTCATCCCAGGGGGCTGAAAAATGGGATTTATGAAGCCATTAATTACTTCCTCCTAATTAAATCAAAATTAAATGCGAGCAGAGGTACGTTTTCCTTATTAAAGACAATTAAACGGACAGTGCGGCTACGCAAATAAAATGAGTCCAGGATTTAAACGGAAAGCAAATCAAATAAAAAGCCTCCCCGGAATGAGGGGTCTGTTCACAACCGTGCTACTCGTAAACCAGGAGTTCATCAATTTTCTTTAAATATTAGCAACTTAATTAAATCTGCTCTCCTCCCCACTTTAATCCTGCCGTATATCTAAAATAGATCTCACCGCCTACAGGAGTTGGTCATAAGTGCTGACCCCATAACTCTATCTTTTTTTTAAAAAAATTAAAAATCCTACAAAATCCACATCCAGCTGACAGAAGCCTCGGGGGAAATTACCGTTCGGAAAAGGGATTAGTCAGAGTACCCAGATTTTATGGAAATGCTGGGAGGTTGCTTTGAGGGTGGGTGTCGTGAGAAGGTCGGGGAGAGGTGGGCCAGGGTTGCCAATGGGGGCAGGGCCGCAGAAGGAGCTGTTCGTGTGGGGTCTGGGTGACAACCGCGGGGCCCAGCAGTTCCTGTGGGTGCTGACAGAAGCCTGGCGGCGAGTGATGGAGGAGGTGGTTGTAAAATAGGTTACCGTCGGGCGCCTGGGGTTCACTCTGCGGATGGTGCTGTTGCTAAGCTACCTTTAGAATTCGACAAGGACGGATGCTCCGAGCGGCTCCCTGGGGTGGGGGAAACCAGGAAGCAGTGAATTAACTGAAACCGTGGTGAAGTCCTTTCTTCCTGAAGAGTGAGAGAGCGTGGTATAAGAATGTGTGTTTGCATTCACGTGTGTGCCCACACAAACACTCGTACATACGAGGGACTCAGCTGGAAAGGGGACAGGTGGCTTTTAAAAGCCCAAGCTCGTATTCCTAGGGTGGGGAGGGGTGGGCTAATGACAAACTTCCCCCCATTTAGTGGTAAGAAGCTATAATGTTAAGTTGCCAAAAATACTTTTTGTGATTTGGGGTGGGAGTTTGTAGTTAGATGGTACACTCAAGATGGTGGAACTCTCAATAATAGTGAGACTTACAAGGTGAGACTTAACAATAATAAAAGTGAATACTTACTGAGCACGTGCCAGGACCCAGTAAGTATTCTAGGTTCTTGATAAGTACTAACTCATTGACTCTCCAAGGCCAGCCTTTGAGCTGGGTCCTAGTAATAGCCTCACTTAACAGATAAGGAAACTGAGGCACAGAGAGGGTGAATACAGTCAGCCCTCTGTATCCATGGGTTCCACATCAGTAAATGCAACCAACCAAGGATCAAAAACATTCAGAAACAAAATTGGGTCTGTACTGAATATGTACAGACGTTTTTCTTGTCCTTCTTTAACAATATAGTATAACAACTATTTGCATAGTATTTACACTGTATTAGGTATTATCAATACTCTAGAGATGATTTAAAGTATATGGGAGGATGTGCATAGGTTATGTGCAAATGCTCTGCTATTTTATATTGGGTTTTGGTATTCATGGGAGGTCCTGGAACCAATCCCCCATTGAGAGATACCGAGGGACAACTGTAAAGTGCCCAAAGTCAGGAAGATCACAAGCAACCGAGCTAGGAATTGAGCCCAGGCAGTACAGCTCCAGGTGGCCCTTTAACCACACACAATGCCACCTCTCATAAGAAAGTGCACACTGGGCAAATATTTGCAAAGAGATGAAACCTCTTCCTCCCTGGATGGAGTGCTTTTCTGGAGATGGCCTTGAGAGTAAGAGAGCAGGGCAGGGGCTCTGGGTGAAGGTGATAGAGGAGGAGGGTGACAAGTCCCAACAGTAGTGGCAATTGTGGAGAGAGGCTGCTGGGGGAAACAGAAAGGGCCCTGGGCCCAGCACAGTGCTTGACTCCTGGCAGCTGCTTAATATGAAGCTCTTGAAGTGAGCATGAAGGTTGTGTTAGGAGACCTAGCTTCTTGGGTTGGTTCTGCAGCTATGTTGCTGTGTAGCCTTGGCGTGATCTTCTCTGCCTCTGGGCCTCAGTTTCCCCTCCTTCTAATGAAGGGAGCTACAGGGCCCTCCCCTGCTTATAGACTGTGGTTCCATGAGATGGGGGTGGGGTCAGTTCATGCTGTTGAGGTGATAAAGGCTAGGTAGGGGCAGATGAAAGCGTGAGTCAGAAGCTGGTTTTCTCATCTTTTCAGGATGTGGGTGGCTGGGGAGGCTTTTGCAGAGCCCCAGCTGCTGGGCGGACAGCAGGGCTGAAGTGCCTCAGATGACCACCTCCTCTGATATTTAGGCAGATGCATCAGTCCTTTCCTGTGTCTCTGGGGTTTTCCTGGACCAAAGGCCTTTTCCCAGGTCTGAGAGTCTCAGAGGGGTCTGGAAAATCAGGCTGGGATTGGCCTTTTCTCTTTCTCTGTTGGGGGCTTAAAAGCTTCAGCTCAGGGGGCCGGGCGCGGTGGCTCACGCCTGTACTCCCAGCACTTTGTGAGGCCGAGGCAGGTGGATCACTTGAGGTCAGGAGTTCAAGGCCAGACTGGCCAACATGGTGAAGCCTCATCTCTACTAAAAATACAAACGTTAGCTGGGCATGGTGTAATCCCAGCTACTTGGGAAGCTGAGGCAGGAGAATCGCTTGAACCCGGCCGTGGAGGTTGCTGTGAACTGAGATCGTGTCACTGCACTCCAGCCTGGGCAACAGAGCAAGTTTCTGTCTCAAAAACAAAAACAAAAATGAAACCACCACCGCCACCACCAGCAACAAACATTTTACTCACACAGATTCAAGTCCTGGCCATGCCACTCACCCATGACTATGACTTTGCCCTCTGTTACTTCGGTTTCTTTACCTACCAAAGGGAATGATGATTTCCACCTTGCAGTTTAAGGGTTAAGTACTTTATATGGGAATAATAAAAAACAGCAACAACAAACAAGCCGCAGGCTGAACACTTTATGTGCTCTGTTTTCTTCTTTAATCTTCAGCAACCTTAGGAAGCCGGCTCTCTGAGCCCCCATTTTTACAGATGAAGAGACTGAGTGTTGGGGCGGCAAAGGAACTTGTTCAAGGTCACACAGTGAAAGGGTTGGCAGAACCAGGCCTCACACTCAGATTTGTCTGCCTCCAAAGTCTTCATTCTTAGCGATTTCACCTTTGGCTACTACCTATCATATAGCAGCCTTGGTCACTCCATCCCCAGCCCTCACCCCATTCTACCAGCGCCACCATCTCCCACACCTGACTGGGAGTCAGGAGTCCTAAGCTCTGCCACTAGGTTGCTGGATGATCTTGAGAAGGCCTTGAACCTATCTGAGCTCTGTCTGTCAAATCCTTGCTCAGCTTAATTCATAGGAATCATTCATTCATTCATTCATTCAGCCACATGTATGGAGGGGAAAGTAGCTTTGGGCCAGGGATTACTGTGTCTAGACCAGAGAAAATCTGAACTTCCTGCAAGGCAAACCCAAAGGTTTACATCTAGACTTTCCTTCTCTCCTTGTCAAGGATCCTGATCTCTGAGCCTCAGAACGGCCTCCCAGTTCCCAGACTCATTTAAGCACACAGGAAGTTCTGGAGTCGTCTCTGCCCACCCACATTGCTGACCAAGACTTCCTGGAAAGCTAATTGGCCTTAACAAAAGCCAGATAGTGTCCCGGGCCACCACTCCACTTTCATGCCCTACAATCACCCTCCACTTCAACACCTCAACTGCTAACAAGGCTCTGAGCAAACCAGCTATTTTCAGGCCTCCAAATCTTTGCATAGGTTACGTCCTCTTTCCCACCAGCCTGATGAACTCCTACACCTACGTCAAAACCCAGTTCAGGTGTTTTCTCTTCCATGAAGAGACATGACAAAATATACTATTTAATGATTGCCTACTCAGTGCCCAGTGCTGACTCGTGAAGCTTTTTATGCACCAGGGTGCCTCTGCCACTCTGGGGATCCCCAAACTGGCAGAGGCTGAATCTCACTCGCCTTTTCTCCCCAGCATCACACCCGGGCCCCACAAGGGGCTCAGGAATCGAATGGATGAATAAAAGTCCTTCTCAGCTTCTTATACTTCTGTGGCACAGATCTTCAGCCAGATTTACCAGCATTTACTCAGAGAGTTTGAGAAAGTAGTTTCATTCATTCATTCATTCATTCATTCATTCATTCACTTAATAAACCGTTTGCAAGCAATGTCTGTGCTAGGCACGGGGGATTTCATGGCCAGCAAAACAAACATGGTCTAATAGGAAAGACACACATTAATTGCACAATCAAACAAACACATGCATAATTAAAGTGTTATGAAGGAAAGATGCTGGGACCTCAAGGGGGATGTGACAGCAGATCTGTCCTAGTCTGGTGTGGGCAGGAAGGGTTTCTCTGAGAAAGTGGACTTGGAGCTGTAGTGTGAGTGTAAGGTCATCCGTGAAGGAGCAGGAAAGAGCAGTTCAGCGGGAGAAACAACTTAGGCAAAGGGGCAGTGGCAGGAGTGTGCATGGGGCATTGACTGACTTTCAGAACAGCAACAGAAGGGCAGTGAGGCTGAAACTCAGAGAGTGTGGCGGGAGATGAGGCTGGAGGAGGAGCCAGATCTTTGTAATCAATGGATAGATGGATAGAATTTAGGCTAGACCCCAAGTGCATAGGGAGCCGCTGAAGAATTTTAAGCAGAGTGGCTAGAGTATGTAGAGTAGAGAGGACCGGATTTGCAAACTGGTTCCTAAATCCCGCATGCATCTAGCTACAGGATGGGCTGGGATTGCCTGCTGGGCTCTCTCTAAGATGAGGGGGAGGAGAGGAGGCCATGGGGCAGAGTGGGAGTGGGGCTCTGGACTCCCTTATCAGTCTTTGGCCAGGGAGCAGAAGGAGGCACATGAAAAGTGGATTTAAAAGGAAAGGTGAACTAGGGTTTCTTGTATCTACCAGTGGGTGTCCTCAGGGTCCTGGGATCTGGAGTTGGAGTGGGGCCCCACTTTACCTTGCCCACGTACAGGGGCTCCGTGCCCGTGTACTCCTCCACCACGAAGAACTGGTTCCACACCCAGCCGCGTTTGACGCGGCCGGCTCCCAGCGCGCCGTCCTGCCGAGCTCCGGGCGCCGACGGCGCGGGCGTGCCCGCTGCCCACAGGCGCCCCAGCAGCGTCGGCGGCGGCGGCAGCAGCAGCAGCAACAGCAGTAGCGCGGGGGACAGCGCGGCTCCCGCCCGGAGCCCCCTACCTTCGGGCCTCGGCCTCATGCTTGGCCTGCGCGGGGCCGGGGCCCAGGAGCATGGACGGGAGGCACCAGGGCGCCGCTGCTCCGTCGCACAACGATGCGGCGCCGTGTCACATGGTGGCCTCAGCGCGGCCGCCGGGATGTCGCCCCCGACGGGGCACCCGGACAGGCCCGCGGCCCTGAAAGCCGCCCAGCCTCGGGGGTGCCCGGCTGGAGGGGGAGGGGGCGCGGCCGCATCCGGGGCATGGACAGCCCCCGGGGTCCCCGCCCGCGCCCCCCTCGCCGCGTCGCGTGCGGATCACCAGGCAGCGCCTGGACAGCTCCAGAGTCGGGGAAGCGCCATGGTTCCTGCGCAGAGAGGATGCGGGTTGAGGCCGGCAGATCCTGCCAGGATTAGGGGCCTTCCCC